GGAAAAGAAATGACCAATGTGGGATTCGAACCCACGCCCTTTCAGACCAGTGCCTTAAACTGGCGCCTTAGACCGCTCGGCCAATTGATCACTGATACAAAGACTGTGCACTTTCTTTTTCCAACCTGCAAGCCAAGTGTTCTTTTCAGAAAGTCGCTTCCATACCGACCAATCAAAACAATCGCTTCCACGCAAAATTTCTCTATTGACCAATAGAATGTGGCCACAACGCACTTTCTCCACCACCCCCACTGTCTTCCGCTTCCCCCCACCTGTTGACGCCGCCGAGGACGACAACCTCGACCTTGATTAATTGAGTTTCGTTCGCTGTGGCGTCTTGATATGCTCTTCTTGTGGCTCGGACGTCATTGACATGAACCCTGCGTATCTCGACGCTGAATGCGCCGACTGCGGGCACTTCGAGCTCAACCGCAAGTGTCGTTGGCTCGCTGAGATAACGTCGGCTGCTTCTATAACCACGACCACTGCGCCTGTGACCAAGAACTCGACTACTGAGATCACAACTACTGCGCCTGGGACCACGACTGCTCCGCCTGCGAATACGACTGCTACACCTGCGACTACGACTGTGCCTACGAACATGACGACTGCGCCTGCGACCACGGCTACTGCGCCTGCACCAGTGACCGCGACAACCGCGCCTGTGACTACGATAGCCCCATTTGCGACTGCGACTACTCCGCATACGTTCACAGCATCGGCACTTGTGACCACGACTGCTGAGCCTGTGATCATGAGGACTGTCCCTGTGTCCACGAACGCGATTCCTGAGATCACGACTATAGCGATCGTGACCACGATGGCTTCGCCTGCGACAGCACCTACTGATTATGCGATCACAACATTGGCCCCAGTGACCACGACTGCACCGCCTACGAAAACGACGACTACTTCTGTGACCGCGGCTGCTGCGACTGCGACTACTGCACCAGTGACCGCGACAACTGCGCCAGCGTCCACGACTACTCCACCTACCACCTTGACTGTTCCGCCTGCGACCACGGCTACTGCGTTAGTGACCACGAATGCTCCGCATGAGAGCGCGACTGCTGCGCCGGCGACCACGACGACTGTGCTAGGGACCATGAATGCTCCTCCTGACAGCACGAACGCGACCCCTGAGATCATGACGACTGCGCCCGTGGCCACGATTGCCCCGCCTGCGACCGCGATTACTGCACTTGCGATCACAACATCGGCACCAATGATCACAGCTGCTCCGCCTGCAACTACGACTGATGCACCTGCGAACACGACGACTGCACCTGTAAACGCAGCTGCTGCGCCTGCGGCCACGATTGCTGGACCAGTGACCGTGACAACTGCGCCAGCGACCCCGACTACTGCACCTGCGATTACGACTACTGCACATCTGACCACAACCGCTCCTCATGTGACCGCGGCTGCTGCGCCTGTGCTTGCGACTGCTGTACCAGTGACCGCGATAACTGCGCTAGCGACCACGACTACTCCACCTACCACCATGACTGCCACGCCAACGACCGCGGCTACTGCGCCAGTGACCACGATTGCTCCGCCTGAGAGCACTACCACTGCGCCAGAGACCACGACAACTGCACCCGTGAATGCGATTGATGCGTCTGAACCTTCGACTGTTGCGCATGTGACCACGTCTTCTGCTCCTTGCACGGTGAAGACTATGCCGGAAATCACGACTCCTACGACTGTGACGATGCGGCTACGCTTGACAGCATGCATGATCACTTTACGTGTACAAAACACTTCCTAAAGCTTAGGGGCTGAACGTCACATACACCCCGATTGAACAGTGATACAAAGACTGCGCCACTCACACCTTAGCGCCACCCTCCCCCACGGGGACACCATCACCAGCGTCTTCTTTGCCGATGACTCGACCCTGCTGTCCCGAGACCTGCCGGCGACTGTCGAGCAACTGGCCGTGGTCGAGGAGTTCTGTGCTGTCTCCGGGGCTCGGCTCAACCAAGCCAAGTGCCAAACCCTCGTCCTCAACGGCCACCTCGACCCGGCCGACACGGATGGGGGGGCCTGCTC